AATAAATAAATAAATAAATAAATAAATAAATAAATAAATAAATAAATAAATAAATAAATAAATAAATAAATAAATAAATAAATAAATAAATAAATAAATAAATAAATAAAGTAGGGAGTCAAGAGATAAAAGGAGCAACAGGGAAGTTACGCCCTGGAGTTCAAAATGAAGCAAGGCAAAGGCTAAAAGGGTTTCATCAAGAGAACAAGCTGGTCATCACAAACACTCTTTTCCAACAACACAAGAGGCAACTTTATACATGGAAATCACCAGACAGGCAATACCGAAATCAGATTGATTATGTTTTCTGCAGCCAAAGATGAAGAAGCTCTATACAGTCAGCAAGAACAAGACCTGGAGCTGATTCTGGCTCTGATCATCAGCTTCTTATAGCAAAATTCAAGCTTAAGGTGAAGAAAGTAGGAAAGTTATATCTGGGCTAGGCAGATGTAATCTAGACCAAATCCCTTATGAAAATACACAGTGGAAGTGAAGAACAGATTTGAGGAACTCAATTTGGTGGACAGAGTGCCTGAAGAACTATGGATGGAGGCTCATAACATTGTGCAAGAAGCAGCAACATACACCATCCCAAAGAAAAGGAAATGCAAGAAAGCAAAGTGGCTGACCAACAAGACCTTACAAATAACAGAGAAGAGAAGGGAAACAAAATGCAAGGGAGATAGGGAAAGTTACAGAAAACTGAATGCAGACTTCCAAAGAATAGCAAGGAGAGATAAGAGGGCCTTCTTAAATGAACAGTGCGAAGAAATAATAGAAAAGGAAAAACCAGGGATCTGTTCAAGAAAATTGGAACATTTTGTACAAAGAGGGACAGGACAAAGGACAAAAATGGTAGAAACCTCACAGAAGCAGAAGACATCAGGAAGAGGTGGCAAGAATACACAGAGGAATTGTACCAGAAAGATCTGGATGTCCTTGACAACCCAGATAGCCTGGTTGCTGACCTTGAACCAGACATCCTCGAGAGTGAAGTCAAGTGGGCCTTAGAAAGCACAGCTAACAACAAGGCCAGTGGAGGTGATGGCATTCCAGTTGAACTATTTAAGATGACTCAATATTCCAGCAAGTTTGGAAAACTCAGCAGTAGCCAGAGGATTGGAAAAGTTCAGTCTACATCCCAATCCCAAAGAAGGGCAGTGCCAAAGAATGCTCCAACTACCGTACAGTTGCACTCATTTCAC